TAATTGACAGTTCCAGCACTAGTGCACAACATAAACTGAAAAAGGAGCGCACACTTCCAACTTTTTCTATACCAATGCGATTCTGATACCTTCACTCAGGTTATCTGCTGATGCCAATTACTGTTCCACCACCACACTGCGTGAAACTGATTGACACCCTCTTTATGTAAGGTAACACGAGGCCAGGGATTGTTGTGGTGCTAAACACTGAGTGTGCGGGATGCTGTGCGTAAAATGAATTCGACAAAGAAACTATATTTATTGTGGATATGCAAGGCTCACACCTGATCCCCTTAATATGGTCAATGTCCGCTTTCATGCCAACACTGCAAATCAAATCTGTGCAACCCTACCAAGGAAGTGTCTTGCGGTTTTGAAAAAACGACAGTAAGTTTCGACAAAACTCCCGACTATAGGAATTTGATCTCTTCTCTCTTCTGCGTAAATAACCTTTCCACAAATAAATGCGTTTAAGATGTGAATGTCGTTTCGATTTTTCTCCATCCGCCTGTTGCTGGGTGTACTGTAGGTAAAAGGGTTCATGTTCTCTGCAGCTGATGAGGAGGAGATCGCAAACACCCCGTTCCTCGAAAAAGAAGAAAAGAAAAACCTTCTCCTCGGGCCACCAGTAGAAGATGAGAGATATCGTAGCTTCTGTTCTCAACCCATCTGCCCAATCCTGGCAACGGTACAGTGACATCAAGACATGGAGCAGACAGGACATTGTTTTCAGTCTTATCCAGGTCTAACTGGTTCTAGCTCACAAAAAAAAATGTCCCTTTTAATGACAGCACTGGTGATGCCACATTTACACACACACACACACACACACAAATGAGAGTCAATCAAATGATTTAATTTGACTAAGGGCACATTTAGCCCTTCTCAAAAACAATGCTATAAAAATGATCTTACAGGGCCATAATATAAATATTACACCAGCCATACACGCTCGTAAAAGCATGTTACAGTGACACTATATCCTACAATACTACTGCAATACTCGTGTCATAATGAAAATACCGTGAGGAAAGATGAATTCACTATGAACTCAACAAAAAAAAACACTGTAATTCACAAAAATATAACAATAAAATATTGTTTTTCACGACCTACAGTATCAGACGGATCATAATTCATATAAAAACTAAAATCCACTGCAATATTGTCTGTCACAGTACCAGAATAATGTAACGTTTGCCGGCCTCCAACTGTGGACAAAACGTTACTGGGGGGAAAAAAATCGAGGATATTACATTAACCATTCATCTGAGAATAAGAAACCGACAGCAGCGCAGTCTTAATAATATAACATGTAAATCCAACCCAGTGAGCGACCTTCCCCCCCCCTATAAGATGGGCTTCTCCTCAACAACAGGCGGCCGAGAGGCGACGGGAAAGGATGTCTCATACCGATGCCCAGTAAGCGAAACTGCGGCAGTGTGAAATCACCCTGAAACACACAGCTAACTGGCTAGTTAACACGCGTTAGAGAGACACATTAAATAAAAACCCACCTGTTTTATTAAAGCTGGTGTCTCTCGCCACCTCCGCGCACAGGTGACACATTTCTCAACCGTGTGTCCGCTCCTCGGTTGGCGTGGTTGTGTCGGATACCGGGGAGCGTGCGAGGTGAACGCCGCTCGAAGGCGCGAGCCGAGTGGGTTCGTAGGCGCTCGCGAAGGCTGGTGGGGTTGCTGCACGAGACTGGCGGAAGTGTTGACCACACGCTGTCAAGATAAAAGCACGGCGGTAGCGCGATAAACTGTCATACACACAGAGAAATTAACAAAATAAAATATCCTGACCCTCCATCATCTTTTAAAAAAATGGAATGATGTGGAGGAGAAAGTTTAACCCTAACCCTGCTTAATTATTATAGATAAACAATATATTGACATATGTTGAATGAATAGCCTAATGTTAGATAGATAGATAGACTTTATTAATCCCCAAAGGGAAATTGGGTCGTCATAGCAGCCAGGTACATTAAAATACAATAAAAAATACAATAGAATAAAATACAACAATAGAATAAAATACTTAGAAAAGATAAAAGGCGCTACCGGTAAGGTGCAAAGAGTTGTAGTTGCAGTTTAGAGTTTAGATC